AGCGGCTGCAGTGAAATCCAGCATTTGCTGGGGATCTCAGGGCAGCCTGCTGGGGATCTGAGGCGGTTGTATTTTACACCAGCGGTCCAGCCGCACATCTCCTCCTTCCCGCCGCCTGCATGCAGCCATGGTGAGATCGGCACCACACCATACAGCCCTGTTGACACCACCCCCCCATACAGCCCTGGTGACACCCGCCCGCAGCCCTGGTTAAGCCTGCATACAGCCCTGGTGAAATCTTCACACAGCCTTGGTGAGACCGCACAGCCCTGGTGGGGCAGTATGCAGCCCTGGTAAAACTGCACACAGCCCTGGTGAGACCGTGCAAAGGCCTGGTGAGACTCTGAACATCCTCCTGAGACCATGCACAGCCCTGGTGAGACTGCACACAGCCCTGTTGAGAACCCACACAGCCTAGATCAGATCCTGCACATCCTCCTGAGACCGCGCACAGCCCTGGTGAGACTGCACACAGCCCTGGTCCAACCCTGCACAGCTTCCTAATACCTTGTTACAGCCCTGGTCAGACCCAACACAGCCCTGGTCAGACCCCACACAGCCTCCTGAGATGCTGCACAGTCCTTGTGAGCAACAGAGTATGTAGCTTCACATTATTCTTCATTGCTGTATAATGTATTGCTGGGATTTGTAGTCCTCTATAGTTGGCGGTATTCTGCATTGCTGTGTAATGTATTGCTGGGATTTGTAGTCCTATGTCTACGCCTATGGGAAATTTGGGGTATTGTAGGTTTTTGCGGATCCACCGGCGCACTCAATTTTAAGGCTTGACATGTTTGGTATCTATTTATCCGACGTGACCCCATCTTTTATACTGTACCCAAAAATTGGGTATTATATTCTGTTTGTGTGCACTAAATTTTATTTTAGTGTATTTTATCCTAAAAAAACTGGTTTAATAAACATTTGTGCAAATACTGTGCGAAATAAAAATTGCAACTAGAGTTTCTTTATTCTACAGGGCCTCTGCTTTCAGAAAATATATCATTGTTTGGGGGGTCTGAAGCTGTTTTCTGGCCAAAAAAGTAGGGGGTCATTCACAAAGCTGCCGAAGGAAGCCGAGTGAATAACCCACCCGAAGTGAAGTGAGCCAAACGCTATTCGGCTATTCACTTCTGGCTTGTACGGCTGATTTCAGCCGTAGATCGGCTGAAAAAAGCCGTACATTGGCTGCCTTCGGCTCGGTTTGGTTCGGCTGAGCCGAAGTGCAGAAGGACTTCGACTCAGTTGATCCAACATCTGGTTCGGCTGAGCCGAAGCTCCGGCAGCTCACTCGCTGCTGTTCGCTCCTATTCTCATAGGGGCCGAACGGCAGTGAGTGAATAGCCGAATGCCCCTGAGCGGCATTCAGCTTGGCTATTCTGCTCGGTACCTCCGTGGTACCGAGCAGAATAGAAAATCTGTGAAAAGAGTTTTAAAAAAAAGGTTAAAAAAATATTTAAAAAATGTAAACAAATAGTAAAAGTAAAAAATAAAGATACTTTAAAAAAGAAAAAAAACAATTGGGCGGAGCTAACTCTGACAGCTAGCTCTGCCCAACTGTTTCCTATTGGCCGGGACCTGCTAGAGTCTTCTAACCGGTCCCGGCCAATGAGCAACAACTGGGCGGAGATGGCCGTGATGTCACGGCCAGCTCTGCCCAGTTGTTATCGTTTAATGACAGATCAGCGTCCCTAGGTAATTTGGGGATGCTGATGTGTCATTACAACTGGGTGGAGCCAGCTGTGAGATTACGGCTGGCTCCGCCCAGCTGTCATTTGCAGGGTTTATGTTTCGGTTGTCACATCGGCTCAGCTGAGCCGAAGCAGCATAGGCCTTCAGTCCGACTGAGCCGCACGGCCACCTTCTGCTGCTGTATGGGTTATTGTGAATAGCCTGTACAGCAGCCCTTCGTTTCAGTTGGCCAAAGGATCAGCCGAAGGTACGGCTGGATCCTTCGGCTCCTTTGTGAATAACCCTGTTAGATTTTATCATGTGTGTGCAAATATTAAGAAATTGCTCCGTACAGCAAGTGGTTAGTTCTGGTAGTAAAACCACAGCCTGTGCTCTGTCTCTAGTAAATTTACACCTAAAATTGCTATTTAAAGTTATCCTACTGCTGGCCAATTTTACACTGTTGTGTCATCCACAGAATCGTAATCTTTGTAGTACATATCGCCCTATTCTAACTTCCTGTACTGCTGCTGGCCAGTTTTTCACTGCTATATCATCTGTGGCCTCATAATTATTATTCCCTGGACCCCTCTAGCACTGTATAATAATAATAATGATGTAAAACAATTATAATTGTAGAGTCTAAAACCACTCTTTATGATAAGGGGGCGCCCAGATATCCACCCCTCCCAGGGAAATGAGAAAAGGGGTACATTAGTAGCCCTTATCCATTCCCACAAAGAGTTAAAAGTACTTAAACACAAACACACCTTAAAAAGGCCTTTAGCTGAAATAAAATACAGACACATGAAAACAATTATTTTGTAATGTCTTCTGAAGACATTATCTTTGTCTATCCCAACATTGATAACAAAATTTGGTTAAAGACATCGCCCAGGATTTCCTGCTGTCTGTTTATGCTACCACAGCAGAGAATCTGTTATTTAGCAATAGTGAGGCGTGTACACATCAGTGTGTGATGTAGGGCTGTCTTTAACGCAGGGCAAAAGGGGCTGCTGCCCTGGGCCCAGTCATTGTTGTGGGGCCCAAAGCAGCTGCCCCTTGAGCCAGCAAAAGATACACATGCGGCATCATTCTGTTTACTCTGCGATCGGCATCACATAGTGTTGCTCCGCCTCTGGTGTAGAGTGACTGCGTGAGGTCCCACACGAGGTCACATCTCATGCGGGGTCCTCCTATCTGTGGGATGGGTAGGGGGTGGGGCGTGGAGGGGGCGTGGTGAGAGGGGGGGGGGCAAGAAAATATTTTTTTCCAATCAATTTTAAAGAAGGCCCTGGTGTGATGTGTCAAGGTCATTGTGATTAACGTGGATTATACATTGAACGTTGCGAGTGATGTAGATTTACTTCAGGGGACATTACTAAAATGTATTTTGTACTTGTCTCTGTTTTATTTTATTTTAGGACTTTCTCGAGGCATTTGTTTATTTACTTTAACTCTTTGCTGGAAAGGGTAAGGGCTACTAATGTACCTCTGTACTCATTCCCGCGGGAGGGAGTGAATATCTTGGCGCCCACTTATTATAAAGAAGGCTTCCAGATTCCACAATAAATTCCCCCATATTACCCCTAGTACACTTGCTGAGACTGTCTGCTAAAATCATATTGTACCATATCACCATGGGCAGCTTTAAAGCACACCAAAGCATGTTATTTAAAGGATTTCTGTGTTTTCAATGTTGCTGCTGTTTTTCTCTTAATTTTTTTGGATTGGAACATGTCCCCTATGGTCTTGCTCAGCAACAATAGCTTGCCTATTAACCTTGAAAATGGCCAGAACAAACTAATAAGATTCACTTCCCATAGACTTCAGTGAGGTAATGCAAATTTTAAGCATTACCTCAATTTTAAGCAAGATTCAATGATCCTGACTGAAACCAAACCCAGTCAAATTCACTCATCACTACTTGTAGTATTGAAAGTATTGGATCAGTATAACAGTCAGGGAAATAGCACTTTTGAAGGTCAGTAATTGCATCCCATGTATTTCTCTCATGACAAGTTTACTGTAAGGAAACTAATGAGTCCTAGCATGTATTAGAAAACAACTACCGTATGTGCTGTTCATGGGTGGGTTCATTTAGGATGAATGATTTGTGGCCTCACGGAGATTCAGCAGATTGGTATGCATTCCTGTCAATCAGACACTGTTTCACACTGGTGTCTTGGTGACAACCATTCCCTCATCTCTGGTTTCATGGTGTTAAAAAGTGAGGGGAAATCTGTCTAATGGAGTAAGAGCAATATATTATTAGACACTTAAAAAAGAGTTTTGGGCATAGTTGGGCTTTACAGAGAAGCTGATTAACCCCTTCATGCCTGTACTCTGTATATAAACGGTTCCCAGCAGAATGGCCCATGCTGAGGATCATTTGAAAATGTCACACCTTTGAGAGCCAGCTGACAGTTGGGATGACTGGTGGCTCTCAATCCCGGCTGCCAGTGATGGCTCTGGTGACCACTGACATTCGGGAACCAGTTTCAAGTGGTTTCCAATCACGAAATCACTGTGTGATCTATGATCACATACAAGCTAGCGGCTTCGTTCACAAAAATTAAAGCCTTGAACACTGCCAGGCTCAGGTAGCAGTGCCATCTGGAGTGTCATCTGTTTAATACTGGAACTGTTAGATATAATTGCATGATTAAAAAACATTGTTATAAATGAATAAGAAAAATATTAAAGACATTTTAAAAACATGTTTACACTTTCATGTATTTCATGTATAGGTACTTAAAATATGTAAAAACTATTTAGACATGCAAATTAGTCATGGAGTTGTTGTCTAGATAACTAACACATGCTGACGCTGCTAAATTTAGCTTAGGAAACAGGCATCAATGACCTCTGGCACTCTACAGAGCTTGCATACTTCCTCCAATTTAGACATAACTGCTCCTTGTAATACATTTTCGTTTTTACGAATGGCTGTCCTGGCCTAGTATATTTATTTTATCTGAATTTTATCTAATATGGCTGGGAGCCATACCCAGCCTACTATTGGGTATTGTAAAATGCAATAGCCAATGGCAAGCTGGCTATTGCACCCGCCCACTGCCTGCTGTCAATCAGCATGGGAGGACCAGTTAGAGAACTTTCCCCTTCAGGCCCCTCCTCTGCTGATTGACAGCAGGCAGTGGGCAGAGGCAATAGCCAGCCTGCTATTGGCTATTGCAATTTGAAATATCCAATAGCAGGGTGGCTATTGCTCAGAGCATTCAAATAAAAATTAAAAATAAAAATAAAAAGTTGAAAAAAATAAAATAAAAAGACAAAAATTTTATATCTGCTTGTTTTTAATTTTCCAGATTGGCTCCAATGTATCTCAATGCTGGCATCCTCTGGTTTATGATCGGCCTTTCAGCAGCTGGTATTCTTCATGTTCTCTTCTACCACTTCCTGGAACTGAAGATCCTGTGATGTTATTCAGCTCAACTAATATGAAAAAGAAGCAAATTAAATTACCATCACGAATATGGTTATAAATTTGCATTAGTGATACAATTGTGGATTGGACTGTTGTTGCAGCACACCTATAAAAGCACACCTGAGCAAAGTTTACCCAATGATTACACATCAATTTACATCTAATAAATAAGAGAATCATTTACAAATCACCCCCGACATATACTGGCTGAATGACATTCACACAACATTCTTGCCACTAGATGGAAATTCCTATGTGCCTTGGCTCCATCTAGTGGCGAGAATGCAGTGCAAATGGCATTCAGCAAGCATATGTGAGGGTGGATGATCTATAAATCATCCCCTTAGTGTTAGATGGAGATGGGTATGTCCATTGCCAAGGTCTGTTGGTTGGAGTTCCTGAGCAACCATCTTCTGTTCAAGAATGGACAATACAAGCACCACCCCCTTCATTTTTTTAAACAGCCTTCATAAAGTACTGATTCTCTAGTGCACTGCCAATGGCTAAAACTCAGAATTTACTTTGCTGAAGTCAGGCCAAGACAAGAAAAAAGTTGATATGGGTTATCATATTTTAAAATTACATTAAAACCTAAAATACACATACCATTTTTTTTTTTAGCGTTTAATAGAGGAGGTATAGGGCTTATGTCCTAGTTTTACTGATGATCCTCTTACTTTAACTTATTATTATTATACAAGATTTATATAGCGGCAACAGTTTGCGCAGCACTTTACAATGGAGCTGCTGGCACATTTAGGAGAACTGTGGCTGCAGCGGCCTGTGTCCCTTCAAATCCGCGCTGCTCTCCCCGCCTGTGTTGGCGGAGGCAGCGAGGACACAGACTGCTGCATTGCGCCGCTGCTCCCCGTACCTCCGCTGCTGTCCCGGCCTCCTCTTCCCCCGGTCTGGTCCGTCGGCTTCTCTTCCCTGTTCCGGTCGATCCTCCGCGGCTCCTTTGCCCCGCCCCCTGCCTCCTCTTCATCTGCAGGCTGAGAGCCATACCCAGCCTACTATTGGATATTGTAAAATGCAATAGCCAATGGCAAGCTGGCTATTGCACCCGCCCACTGCCTGCTGTCAATCAGCATGGGAGGACCTGTTAGAGAACTTTCCCCTTCAGGCCCCTCCTCTGCTGATTGACAGCAGGCAGTGGGCAGAGGCAATAGCCAGCCTGCTATTGGCTATTGCAATTTGAAATATCCAATAGCAGGGTGGCTATTGCTCAGAGCATTCAAATAAAAATTAAAAGTTGAAAAAAATAAAAAGACAAAAAAATTTTAAAAAAATTTAACAAAAGTTAAACAAATAAAAAAAATAAAGTTTATAAAATAAAATTAAACATAGAAAAAAACTTTTGTGTGTGTCATTTTAAATAAAACAATGTTTTTTTTATTATATTATAATCTTCTGAACAACAGGAACAGACAGCAAAACCAACGTGACCCTTTCCTATGCTATCCAAAACAAAAAAAAATTTTTTTGGCTGGAGTTACACTTCAAAAATGTACCTGTTCCGACTTACATACAAATTCAACTTAACTACAAACCTACAGTCCCTATCTTGTATGTAACCCGGGGACTGCCTGTATAAGGAAGACATTACAATCACAATACAATTCAAGACAAGATGTTAAGGAGGGCCCTGCCCGTGAGGGCTTACAATCTAATAGGGAGGGGGAAGTGATACATGAGGAGGTAGCTGTGTGGGGATGATTGTTTGAGAAAGCGATACTTCAGTGGTTAGGTTGAGGTGGGATAGGCTTCCCTGAAGAGATGAGTCTTAAGGGATCGCCTAAAGGCAGTCAGTGTGGGAGATAGTCGGACAGGTTGGGGTAGAGAGTTCCATAGGATGGGAAATACTCTAGTCCTGGAGGCAAGCATGGGAGGAGTTCATGAGGGAGCTGGAAAGCAGGAGTTCTTGTGAAGAGCGGAGGTGACGGTTTCGGTGATACATTGAGACCAGGTTTAAGATATAGCCGGGGGCAGAGTTGTGTGGTTTGTAAGTCATTGTTAATATTTTGAATTTTATCCTTTGGGCTATTGGAAGCCAGTGGGGGGATTGGCAGAGGGGGGGTGCAGACACTGAGCGGTTGGTTAGGTGAATGAGTCTAGCAGCTGCATTCATGATAGACTGAAGGGGGGATAGCCTGTGTAGAGGTAGGCCAATGAGGAGGGAGTTACAATAGACAAGACGAGATATAACAAGCGAGTGGATGAGTAATTTTGTGGTTTATTTGGTGAGGAAGGGGTGTATTTTGGAGATGTTACGAAGTTGAAGGCGGCAGGATTTGGATAGTGATTGGATGTGGGGAAGAAAGGTGAGGTCCGAGTCAAGGATGACACCTAGCACCTTGGCATCAGGGGAGGGCTTGATAGTTGTGTTAACAATCTCATGGGGAAGGTGCACAGGCAGGCTACTTAGTGCGGCTACTTGACGCAATACACCAAGTGGGGACACAGACACCATTAAAAACTTGACGGAGGATATAACCCTTCCCAACCCCGTTCACACCTGGGCGGTTTGGCCACACGGATCCGCCGTCATGAACAATCCCATACATTGCTATGGGGGCCGTTCATGCAACCGCGCGGGTCCACGCGACCGAACTGCTCCCTGCACTATTTTTGCGGCGCTGATTAGTGAGGTTTCCATACAGCTGTCAATGGAACCGTGCTGATCAGCGCGGTTTTAGGCGTTTTTAATTGTGTTTCAGTGCTGAAATGCAATTAAGAACTCCCAAAACCTCCCTTTTGATATCAGCGCTGATCCGCAACCACCCTGGTGTGAACGGGCTCCATTCACAAATGAGCGGTTTTCCGTGCATATTCGCACATATAAATACATGCAGAAACGCGCTAAACATAAAAACCAATGCATTGTTCAGACTATTGCGGGTCCCACAAAATAGTCCAAGCGCGATTTTTATGGGCGGATTCCGCGCGTTACGGCTATAGTAATAGCCCCAAACGTGCGGAATCCACACATATGTTACCGTTTGTGCGGTATCGTTGAGAGCTGAAACCACTACCACTATGTGTGAATGGAGCCTAACTGAATAATATGACCAAATAGCTAGTAAAGCTCACACAGTGATATTTAAAAGACTGCTAAGGTTTTGCAAATGCTGTTATGCAGAAACAAGGTGAATTTTTCGACTTTTTGACCCCTGCAAGATCCCAACTCCCTTCTAGTCCATCCTGGCTATGACATGGACAAATAGCAGTGCCATTTCTACACAACCTAAAAGAGGCAAGGGTGACACTGCCCTCTGCTGGATCCATAGGGTTATATGAAATCATCTGTATAGATGAAGTGTACACTTAACTGACAGTAAAAGTATTCCTTTTTTACACTGCTAATAATAACAACAAAATAAAAATTTTTTAGATGCATTTTTTTACATTTATATTTCTCACTGTATTTGTATCTGTTTTACCAAGGATGTTGTGTAGTTATCAGTGTATAGAAAACCAATAAAAGGAGTACAATATGGTGCTTTTTGTTTTAAATTTTTAGTCTATTTGGAAAAGGTATGTTAACTCTTTCATCAATTAATAACACCATGCCATTAGTCCCCCAACTATGTCAAGGGGGAGAGGGGCTGCAGATCTAGCAGCCAGCCAGGAACGAGGTTCAGGTAAGTATATCTTTGTTATTTTAGCTCCCTAGACAAAACATGCTCTTTACCCTTGCAGTGTGGGGGTAGCCTACTTCAAGATTTTATTTGTCTGGAGTTTTTTAAACAATGCAATTAAAGCATTATGATGTATGTCATCTTACTGTGGAACTAATGTTTGGTTAGAGTGAATCTGTACTTCAGTATACTCTTACAATTTAAAGCCTTGGATGCTGCTATTGAGCTGGTGCCGGATTACCCAATACCCACTACAACACTATAGGACAAAGAAGTATCATGGGGCCAGCATAAGATTTTTTTTTAAAGATTCCATTTTTATTAAACAGTTTTTACATTTCAAAACATTCAAAACATGTAGGGCAAGCACTGTGGAGGTATAACAGTTTGCTGAGGGGAATGACAGCGAGACATAGCACAGCATTATGACCCTGAGATGTAAATGAGTACAAAATGGGACAGGATGATCACTTTTACAGCATGGTGGGCAGTTAGACAACAGTAGTGATACACACTTCACCCCAGCATACACCGAGTGGCCAGATTATTATGACCACCCCATCAGTACTTCGTTGGGCCACGAGATGACTACACAAGATGACTTCGTTGGGCCGCCTCTTGACTCCACGAGATGTTGAAAGGTGATGCGAGGAATCTGACACTGCACTGTTGCCCTTCTGTTGTCTTGTACCAGTCTTGCCACTCTCCGTTCTGCCCTAACATTGACTAGTCGCTGACGGTCACAATTCGCACGTTCAGACCCAGATTTGCGGCTGACAGTCCAATCTTTAAACACTTTAACAACAGCTGCTCTTGAACATTTAACGAATTCTGCTGTTTTGCTGATACTCGCTCCATGGCTACGAGCGCCAACAATCATCCCACGTTTAAAGTCTGTTAAATCGCGTTGTTTACCCATATCTTCAGAAAAAAAATCACTTCTACTGTCGTGGTAAACAACCTGCTTCCCTATTTATAATGGTCTGGCCCTCTAGCAACTTCAGCGTGAAATTATAGCTAATTATAGCTAATTTGCCTACAAACGTCAGGTGGTCATAATAATCTGGCCACTCAGTGTATATCCCCATCATTTACAAAGAATTGACAGTATAGAAAATTGTACTCAAAGTGCATATGAAGATAAGAGGGGAATAATCAGAAAGAAAGAAAAGGAAAAAGGACAGCAAAAAAAAAAAAAAAAGGAAAAGGGGTAGAGAAAGGAGTTAGAGTATAAGACATGAGCAAGAAAAGCCAGAATAGGAAAAGGAGAGGAGAAAGGGGTAGATCTGTTACCATACAGAGGAGAGCAATGTATCGGAGACACTCGGGAGGGACAGGTATCAACCCCATCTACACGCAGAGGGAAGTGCAATGGTAATGGATATACGATTAATTGTGAT